CATTATCCATCTTACACTGGATGCAATAGAAATCGGCCTGTATTTCAAATATTTTGCAAAACCTCAAAATTAAAAAGACACCATGGAGACTCATATAAAGTGGGAAATTATTTTTTAAAAATATAAATTTTATTAAAGAGTGTTTTATAAATAAAACATATCTTTAGTTCTTAGGCTGAGAAAATATATGGTTATTTCAATACTTTTGTCTTTTTTTGAATGGTATCATTTATTCCTGAACTTTGGAAAATCAGCTTTTAAAATTAAATGCTAAGAAAGACTAAATATAATTATTGGTTATTTTATAGCAGCAATAGTTCTTCCTTCTCTTTGTTTATTGCTCAGCAATAGGTTATCTAAGGTTGCATTAGGGCTGGCAGGCTTGAAGGATGAGAAGCATTGTATGCCACAAAATAAGCACGGAGAAAACAAAGGATACAAAAATGGAGGCCACCAGGTCTAGTAGGGGTGAAGTAATGTGAATGACAAGAATGGTACTTAAAATGTCGAGAATTAAAAGTCAAAATTAACATGTTGAAGACTTTTTGTTGTTATTTTTTTCTATAGGGCATGTGCACTCGCTAGAGAGAGACTGAGACAGGGAAAGTGAGAAATTAGCTATCAGGTGGGATGACCACACTGTACTCTCTTTTCTTGGGATTTATTCCATTCTGCTTTCGGGACTTTGGGCACATACACGTACCCCTGGTGTGTTTTTCTAGCTGCCGGGTCCAGGACTCAGATCGAAGTTGGCTGTGTGGGATCCAGTCCCTTAACCACCATGCCACCTGTTGGCCCTGCTTTGCTTTCAAACTGCATTATATCTATGCAGACCTTCTTCTAAGGGACAAAGATCTTTCTTCTTTCTTACATTCCTTTTCCTCCTGTTACTTTCTCTTCTCCTTTTAGGTTTGTTGATCATCTTCCTTCTGTCCTGCAGACACTTTTTTCTTTCTTTTTTTTTTTTTGAGAGAATTTTCCTATGGGGCTTCAGAACTTGCCAGACACACACACACACACACACACACACACAGAGACAGACAGACAAAGTGAGAAATCACTGGTGGATAGCCATGTGGCAATTCCTTCTCCATTCTTCTCTCGGGATTTTGGGCACACATTCACATGTTCCTGGTGTGAGTTTTAAGTTGCTAGATCTGGAACTTGAACTGTGGTTGATTACGTGGAGTTCAGCAACATAAAGCCAATTATGCCATCTCCTATTCCCTCAAATGCTTTTCTTAAAAAAAATTCAATCATTTTTTCCCCTCATTCCACTCTTTTCTTTAACTGAGAATAATACAGAATTTAAAATATGTGTTTTTTTTATTGAACAGAAATTATGTTTATCTTTTTAAGTTTTTAAGTCGAAAACTTTGGAGTTTTACATATTTTTCATGTTTTAAATTTTGCCAGAGGGCAAGTGTGTTGGCCGTAGAGAGACAGAAAGAAAGAAAGAAAGAAAGAAAGAAAGAAAGAAAGAAAGCATCGCCCCCACCCCAAATGGTGGCATGGTCACACTGCAATCCCTTCTCCATTTCTCCCTCTTCAGGATTTTGAGCAGGCACACACACACCTGGAGTGTTTTATAAGCTGCCAGGTCTAATACCCCAACCTGTGAAGTCAGCCATGCTGGATCCTGCCATCTTCACCATGCCACAGGCCAACCCTAAAGATTTATGTTTTAGGGACCAGCAGTTGGCATAATGGCTATGTTGCTGGACTCCCATGTAGTTAGTCAACTGCTGTTCAAGTTTTGGACACGGTGGCCTAAACTCACGTTGGGTGTGTGTGCTTGCGTGCCTAAGATCCCAAGAGGAGTATGGAGGAGAAAGGACTGTGTCATGGCCATCGCCCCTCGGGGGGTGATTTCTCACTGTCTCTCTGTCTCTCTCTGTCTTTCTGGTGAGTGCACATGCCCTATAGCAAAACCTCTCTAAAAATATTATGTTTTAAAGATAACTTTAAACTTTTGTGTTTTACATTTCCTAGTCTTCCAATAAAACAAAATAAGAAAAGCTTTTTACTCCTTAGTTCACTTTCCTTTCTCTTATTGATTGAGGTAACCTAGCTGTTAATTTATGTGTATTCATCTAATATAGTTGGTTGAACACATTTGTTGTTTTAAAAATGGTTCTTGAGTCAGCAGGTGGCATGAAGTTTAAGGTGGCTGAATCTCACTTGGCAGTTACAGGTAGAGTTCCAGACCCAGAGACTTGAAAAAATCACACTAGGTACATGTGCGTGCATGTCCAAAATCCCAGGAGGAGAATGGAGAGGAAGGAGTTGTGGTATACAATCCCCCTGGGGGGTGACTTGTCACTGTCTCTCTCTGTCTCTAATTTCTCTCTGGTGAAAGTACATGCCATATAGCAAAAATCTTAAAAAAAAAAAAAAGGTTCTTAATGGGAGGTTCAAATCTCTATTTCATGCTTTTTAAAAATTAACAGGGGCCATCAGGTGACGTAGTAGTTACATTGCTAGACTCCCACATGGCTGACTGCAGTTTGAGTCCGGCACCCAGTTGCTTGAAAATCACACCAAGGGCATATATACGTGTGCCCAAGATCCCAGGAGGAAAATGGAAGAGAAGGGACTGCAGCATGGTCATCTCTCCTGGGAGATGTTTTCTCACTTACCCTTTCACTGCCTTTCTCTCTCTCTCTCTCTCTCTCTCTCTCTGTCTCTCTCTGTCTCTCTCTCTCTTGCGAGTGCACATACCCTATGACAAAAAAAAAAAAAACTTTTGAAATAAATAAATAAATAAGCCTAGGCCCTCCCCTGAAATTTTCCTTTCAGCATCACTTGAGTAAGACTTGGAATTTGTATTTTTTAAAGTTATATAGGTGATAATTTTCAATATACCTTGCTCAAGAACCTCAATGGAATATAACTTCATTCTGACAAATACATGTTTTGGCAGCCTTCAGGACACATGTCACTCAGCAGCCATTTTACTATTACGTAACATAAGTGAAAGAGCTTTTAAAACATGAGCACTTAAGAAAATAGTAGGGAATAAAACTCGTTAATTCCACACTATGAGTTCTTGCTATTAATTATACTGTAATGCCCCAAATCGAAAGCTAGTTATAGAATATCTTGTCAGATGCTATGAAGTTGATGTCGTTGAAAACCATGCATTCAGCAAACTAGCCACAGAAAGCATCTGATGAAGTATTCAGTATTCATTTAAGTAGAGAAAGTAGAAGACACAAATTTTACTCTGGGGATTCATGGTGTGCCACATTGGTCCCTTGAAGGAGAGATTTTAATAAAATAAATGATAAATTATCTTCAATTTACCCCAAAGTGAGCTATTGAATAAATAATGAGTCTTAATATATGGAATTCTCGAGCTATGCAAGTAGTTAATACTTTGTGAGCCTGATAAAGACAGCATTTTTGTTAGTTTCTTTAGCTCCAGGAAGAGGTAGAATATCTTCCTTTATTTTACAGGTCGTCTTTGTTTATAATAATAAATCTTAGTATGAAATCAACAAATGTACATGGTAGTAAATTTTAATCATTTTGACATATCCTTTCAGCCATTCCTTAAGGGGTAACTACTCCTTTCCATTTTTTTTTTGTTAGGTTTTCTTATATTTTCCATCATATTTAAATAATATGCTTATATCTGACTTTCATTTCATCAATGTTAAAAGATTCCTTTTATCTTTCTAATTTGAAAGATAAGGAATTTATTTTATTCCCTCAAAGCTTTCTTTTTCTACTCTGTTCTCAAATTCTAATGTTTTTATTTTTAGAAATTCTATTAGTTGAACTTACACCTTTAAATAGAATACACATACATACACACATTTTATAACCATATTTAAATTTATTTATATGTTTTGATAGCATATTTTTAAAATGATAAACATACAATTGACAATATAATTTTGTCAATATTTTCTGACTTAAAACAAGTAACTTGATTTGACACAGAAAAGGAAACTAAATCTCATCTAATGTCTCTTACTTAAATACCATATCAAACTCAAGTGGACTTTCTCTTCCTTAATTTTGCCAGTTGGTTAAACTCATGCCATATTTTGATTTGTTTTCTATTTAGACAATTATTATATCAGATAGCTGTTTGTATTTTTTGAATAATTAAATTCCTTTTTCTTTCACTTATGCTATTTGTGAAATAGTCTAATTTGGATTGTTTATTATATATCTTTTTAGAAATATTTTTTATTTCCTAAATCCTAAGTATCTTTTTAAAGAAAAGAAAAAGGAAGGAAATTTCAAGTCCTGTTATACCTCAAAATAAGTTCTGTTTGACATCACACTTGATAATCTGTAGTCTGACAAAATTTAATTCAAAATGTTTTTCTCTCAACACATTGAGAGCACTGTGTTCTAGCCTCAAATATGGCTGTGGAAATTTTGATGGACTCTGATTCTCACTCCTTCATAAGTTTCCTGTTTTTCTTTCGGGAAGTTTTCAAAAGTGTGTCTTCAGTGTTGGAATTGTAAATTTTCTCTAGAATGAATCCTTTCAAATGTTTTTCTTTTCCTTACTTTTAACCTGATGAATATTAATTCATTTTCTACTATTATTTTTAGAACTATTTCCTCTCTTCTATTTGTATTCTCTATTTTGGAAACTCAAATGAAAGTCATGTCAGACTCCCTGATTATTCTGTATCTACTGAATCTTACTTTGATATTCCTTTGCATTATTTTCTCTACTTTTATATATATATATATATATCTGTGTAACCATCACACCTGTCAAAATGTAGAATGTCTCCAACACCTGAGAATGCTTACTTGTGGTAAAGGATTCTTGAAAGATAACTACAATTCTGACTCCAACTTCTTTTCAGAAAAAAAAATTCTATCAAAATTTGTATTTTGACAGCCATGCCTCCTAATTATCAAGAATCAGTGATTTTGGTGATAGCCTATTTCTTTCTATAATAGATTGTCTATCTCCTCAACTTTTTCTAGGAACAGCCATTTTAACCTCATAACATGACCCCATATTTGCTGGATTTTTTTTCTTTCTTCTGTAATTGAGTGTGGTCTTTTCTTCTCAGTCCTTCAGTTTTATGTTTGTAGTCCTTGAGTACCAATGTATCCTTGATAAACAAGTCATATTTATGAATGAAAAACTAGGTTGCTGTTGACAAGCATTGCTTCTGCCTTCATGCAAGTATGTTTTCCAATCAAATATTCCCCTGGAAAAGAGAGATGATAGTAAGTTCTGTGTACATGACTGGTGTCTTGATAGGAAGGCTATGTTTTATTGTGTACAAGCAAGAAACAGCCAACAAGGGTCCTTCTTTCTGTCTACTGCATCCTGATTCTAACTAGAATAGAAATGGACACCCTAGATGTCTTACCTCAATTAATTCAAAGATCAAATTTTTCTTATAGGTTGGAGATAAACCAGCTTGCTTCATACTTGATTTAAGAGGAGGACATGAGGAACTGTGATGCTGGTGAACAGATATCCTTGAGTTAATCAACTTTTTTTCTGATCTACTTCCCATATGTACCAACTCTGTGACTTCTCTTCTGGAAAGACATATTTCTTTCTCTGTTCTAACTTCTCCAGATGGATTTTAGACTGTAGGCTTGGCTTTTTTTTTTCTTTTTATTAGAAATTTTTATTATAGGGCACATGTGCTTGCTGGAGAGACATGAGAAATTACTCCACCAGAAAGGATGACCATGATGTAATCCCTTCTCCTCCATTCTCCTCTCAGGATTTTGGGCACGCACATACATGCACTGGGAGTGGGTTTTTTAAGGAGTGGTGTCTGGGAGTTGAATCGTAGTTGACTACTTGGGAGTCCAGCAATGTGAAAATTACACCATCTGCTGTTTCCTGGACTTGGCTTTTGATTTGATCTTCTCACTAGTATCATTTCTTCTGCTTCCTGTACATCAGATTTGTGTGAATTCTTTGGTTTCTTCCTGTGATTTTCAGTGATGTCATGAAGGTATTTCCTACTGTACATCTTTGTTTTTGTTGTAATAGAAATTTGGAAGTCAGGGAGTGATAAACATAGGATAAGATCATTGTCATGAATTAAAAGCTGGCTATTGCTATTACTGAAAAATGTATAAAGAACAAAATGAATGAATGATAGATAGACAGATATAGATACATACATACATGCATACTCAGATAATATATGATAAGAAAAGAATTCAGAATCAATATTCCCATAACGAGTTTAACTGTTAGAGATGTTATATGCAAGGACAACAGATTAACTTTTTTATTTTCAATAGCTACCTAACTATTCTCTAATATGAGATAAATGATGAGTCAGCAAAACAGATCTGAGGGCACAAAAGGATTGTCTTTGTATGCAAAGTTACAATCTCACGCTAAAGATAATACAATTGTAATATTAATAAGAAGAGGACCAGCAGATGGCGTAATGGTTATGTTGCTGGACTCTCATTGGCGTAAACATCCTCATAAATGTTGGAGGACATCTGAGATTATTGCCTTTGAATAAATTCCTAGAAGGGAAATTAATTGGCAGTAAAAATGAATCAACATATTTAAGACTTTTGAAAGATATTGCAGAATTATTTTCAAAAATCTTATGCGCATTATTTCTGTTATTTGGACAAGGTCAGTGGTTCCCCCGACACTCTCTAATATCACTTTTACTTCTGTTAAAATCTTTGCTAAATGAACAGGCTAAATTTATTGTCCCATTTATTTGAGTTTTCATTTATTTACTACTACTGAGGTTTGACATGGTTTCAAGTATTTATTGATCATTTGTGTTTTCTTATAATTATGTTGTTCCTGGCTAAATTTTGCATTGGGACCTCTTAGTCTTTATTCACTAACAAAAAAATTCTTCTGTCATTTATGTTAGTATTATATTTCCTTCTGTTTTGTAGATGCCTTCCACTTTTATAAACTTTCGTTGCTATGAGGTTAAATCTATCACTCTTTTTCTTTATAAATTGCACCTGTTGTGTAATGCTTAAAAAGTTTTCTCTACTTTCACATTGTATAAATATTCATCTTCTTTTTTAAATAATGTTTGAGCTTTAGTTTTTCATTTGAATATTTATCCCACCAGAAATAGCGAATTTCAGTCTAGATGGCTGACAAAGATCCCTGTTTACCTATCTCACAGAAAGGAAAGGGGAAAGAAATTTGTCTTAGATTCTGTCCACCCTTGGCATCTTCTCTGAGCATGGTGGAGAAGTACAGACTTCCATTTTAGTTATATTGCCCACTGAGGCTTTGTCATTTTGCTATCCAACCATTCCATACCCTTGTACTATAGTTTCCAAGCAAACTCAGATGCCCACTATAAGTGCTCTTGTGGAAGCTGTTAAACTAGTAGAATGAAAGAAAATTTCCCCTCTCAAAACTGGAGGATGATGGCAGATCTGATCAGGGTCTCTTCAATTTACTTTTCAAGACTGTTACATTAAGTAGATGCTTAGTTTAGCTTGCTCAGGGAAATTTTGTCCATATATGGTTATCGCTGAGGTTGATCACCTCTTCAACCTTGCTGTTTATATGTAGGTTTCTATCATTCAAAAATCGTGTGTTGAGCCTATACACACACACACATGCACACACATATACATGCACACACACATACATGCATACATACACACCCACTTAAAGAGAGAGAGAAAAAAGAAGGGGAAATTGAAAAAAAGAAATATTGGAAAGGTAGAAGTGGTGATGCATATTTGCATTTATGACAGCTATTTACTCAAATTTCAGTCAAATTATTTTTAAAAGAGGTGACATCATCCCAGTTGAATATAAAATGTACAAAAATGCCAGTTATTAAGCCATCTTTTCTCCAAGGGCCCAGGTATATCTACACTGAAAGTCTATTGAGGCAGAAACCCCTTCCCCTCACCTTGATGAACTCCATAAATGTTAAGGAATCTCCAAATTAAATGTTAAGGAATCTTCAAATTTCAGGGACAACTGCACTCACTGCTTCATTTCTCGAACTGATCTAGTATAAATTTCAAAAGGCCATTAACTTTTGAGTTCTAGACACTTAGATTTTGAAAATTGCATAAACTATACCACACTTGGTCCTTAAGAGCTAGAACTAAACCTTAGTTTCTTAGGAATTAATCTTAGACCTAAAAACAACTCTATGTTTATATTGAGCATATGAAAATTTAAAATGTGTTGGTTGATTTCCATTTCACTAAGCATGTTTTTTCAGAACAATTTTATATATTTCATGATTCTTTTTTTAGTACGATTTTAAAGCAATTATATTGAAGTGTAATTAACATACCATGGAAATCAGCCATCATTTTAAAGTACACAATTCAGTGGTTTTTTAAGTATTTTTGCATAATTATGCAGCCATCATCATTACCTAATTTTAGAATACTTTTAACACCCCCCAAGAAATCCCGTACTCATTCACCATGAACTCCATAACCATTAACAGTCATTCCAGATTTGCCCCACCACAGCACCTTTGGCAAACAATAAACTACTTTTTTTTTTCCTGGGAATTTGCTTGTCTGTACACCTCATATAGATGGAATCATGCTATATCCGGCCTTTTGTATGGCTTATTCCACAGAGTTTCCATTATTCATGCTATAGCATGTATCTGTATGTATCTTATGTGTTTTTATTGCCTAATAATATTCCTCTATGTGGTTATACCACATTTTGTTTATTCATTTATCAATTGATTTTTAAGTTCTTTTTTCTTTTATGCTATCATAATGCTTTTATGAACAATTAGGTACAGATTTTTGAGTGGAAATATGTTTTTAATTTTCTTGAGTATATACATAGTGCAGGTTGACAATCTCAAATACTTGGGACCAAAAGTGTTTTGTATATTAGATATTTTCAGATTTGGGGATATTTTCACATATATAATGAAAATCTTAGAAGGGGACTCTAAGCTCCCATCTGCCTGAAGGGAGCTTGGAGGGTTTTTTCTCTTTAGGATACTGAATACATTGTGCATTGTGCACCTGTATTTTGACTGCAACTCATCACATAAGGTCAGGTGTGAAATTGTCTACATGCGACATCATGCTATCGCTTCCAAAATTTCAGACTTTGAAGCATTTCAGGTTTTTGTTTTCAAATTAGAGATGTCCAACCTGCAGTAGACTTGCTGGATTATAATTTACTCCTTATCTTTTAGAATTGACCTACTTTTAATGTGCACATACAATAACCTATATTTTTCACTACATTCTTTTAAAATAATTATTTTAAATTTAGTTTCCATCAAAATATTGATATATGTCTCTTCAGGGCCAGAGGTAGTACAGTGGTAAAATGTGATGCTCTGTGAGGCAGACACACACGAGAAGGTTACAGATGTGCCCAGAAGCCCACATGATCCAGGGCTGCTAGAGGCTGGGGGTGGATCGTGGCATGAAGAACCTATTGGAGGTGCCATAGCTCTTTTTGTCACTTTTCCTGATGGGAGCAATAAATAAACTTGAGAAAATATATATGTCTCTTCTTAGCAGTATTGAGATATTGAACTAATGGGGTAAATAATGTGCATTTCATAGAAATGAGCTTCAGCAAAGGAGAGAGAAGCATAAAGTAGAGAGTGTGGCTAAAAATGTAAGACAGAAGATGATCAGGTGATCAAAGAGGTATACGAAACCTGGAGAGTGGTTCTACCAAAAGAAAAGCTATGAGGACTTTTGAATAGAAAATTGAGTTGAATCACACCAAAGTGAACACAGATTAAAAAGTAGAGGGAATTTAGATCTTTTTGCTCAGGAGATTGTCATTTTTTAAAAAAAACTTTAAAGTTTTAAAGTATTAAGTTTAATTTAAAAATAAAGATGACATTTCCTGGGCCTAGTAGCAGTGATAAAGGGGTAGCACAATGGTCTGCAATACTGGAAGCCATATGAGATACCGGGGGTTGGCAACTGTGTAATATGTGTATACGCATGTACTCGTGATAACTGGCTGGGAAAGCCTTGAGGGAAGAGAGTGACATTAGACACGGTTGAAGGTGCTTGTCTCTCTCTGTCTCTTTCTATCTTTGTTTCTATCTCATGAATTAAACTAACTTAAAAAAAAAGGATGTTATCGCCTAACACATAGTAGTCACTTAAACTGATAATTTTATGAACACATTCTCTGTTGTTTCTCTTTGAAACTACAAATCTGTTGGTTTTTTGTTTCCGTTATTTTTTGTTTAATTTGCTGTAGTGCATG